TAGGTAACATGGCCAAGAGAAAGGCCACTCCCATTGGCTTGAACCTATACCTTGTGCTTTGTGTCTGCTTTTTAGGGGTGGAGACAAACAGCAGATGGATTCACAGGTAATTGCACTATGCATTTTTAAAGAGAAAGGACAGGGCATAAGCGGTCATCACATTGCCCAAATGTGAACCTGCATTGACTTCTCTGGTTTCTGTGTGGAGGATCTTTGTGGTTTTATGTCTGCTCATTGAAAGCAATGGCGAAATACTTCTCTCTGCTTTCATCTCTTTTAATGATGGAGCTGTTTTTTTTCTCTCAGTTGCTGGTTTCCCTTTCTTCCCCTGTGGCCACAATAAGGGAGTATGCCGCACCAAAACACAGTGTCAGGGTTCAACACCTTACAATGTGTTGTTTGAAAGTCCATGTCTGCTATTGCAGGATGATGTAAGGTTGTGTCACAGCCCTGTCTTATCTTTGTTGTAGCTTTTACAAAATACCTACCAAACTCTGTGTCTCTCTTCAGAAACCAAGATTAAGCAGAAGGTCATTTGATTGTCCATTAAAGCCACCACAGCACCTATGGCTCACATTTATAATTTCTGAAAGTGCCGTACATATCCTGAAGGTTTGCATTTACCCCCTTGCCGTAGTTTTTATGTCAAAGTTTTTTTGGCAAGCTATTTATGGAATCATTTAACATCTCAATTGGCATCTTCTCACAATTCTGTTCTTTCTTCTAGCCTGTCAGTTTTACTTTTCAATGCTTCTGCATGATGACCTGTTCCTTTGGTTTTGTCGGATAATGTATTACTGTCATCCCATGCATCTGATGACATCGGACTGAACAGGACAAAATGCAGCTATCCATCTTTTTGAAGTTTTAATAAGGAATGCTGATGTATTTTGTGAGCAATACAGGTGACCGAGTTCCAGCTGTCAGTCATCTTAATAGCTATGAGAATATCACATTGAAAAGAGAGACTCAGTTCCAGAAATATGAAAATAATTAATCTGTTTCAATTATAACTGCATCACTTGTTGTTAATAGTTCTTTTGTTAATAGTTTCAATGGCTTTTACTCCTTTAACAGATTATCAAATATTATTTTTTTATTGGGTTATTGTGAAATTGCATTATGATTATATTAAGGAAATGCTAATACATTGTTCTCGTAATACTGTATAAACCAGGTATCCATTATTCACTCTGAGATTTGATGACAGATGCTGAGCTCTTTCAAACAGCTCACACTTCCAGCCTGTCCAACCATAATTTCAGGCTTTTCATCTTTTGCAATTTCCTGTCCATTTTAACATGACCGATCTTTTTAAGCATGGAGCTGATTTGATTGAACATGGCTCTTCTTTTTTGTTGTTGTTATTGAATTCCATTTCCCTATAAGGTGACTTGGCAGATTTCACTCATTCCCAGCCCAAGTGTTCATGATAATTACTTTATGTCTGCGCAGACAAATGGCACAAGATGAGATAACTAACTGTTGCAATATTGCAAATATTTTTCTAGAAGTGTTTCAATAACTTTACACTGAGGGGCAGTTTAGCTCTTGGTTATTTTCTGTTTTTGAGATTTTGTTAACTTCATATGCCAACAGTTGCTCTGTACTTCATAACCCCTGGTGAGGGATTATGCCGTAGTTTAGGTGAACAACATGAAAAAGAATTTTATATAAAACAAACTCATGAGAAAGTTTTAAAAAGTGAAGAGATTAAATATGCCAACTGATAAACGTCATTACATTTCTCATACATAAATGAACAGGCATGAAATGAATCATTCAATATGTCAGTAATATCTCATCCAATAAACATTATAAATATTGATTTATAATATTTGTTGAGATTTTTGTTGCAGTCAGTACACCACTTTCTTACTGCATAGATTAACTCAAAAAGCTGCATGCTTGACAAATTAAAATATTTATTTATTTATTCATTTTAATGAGTAAGTAATACCACTAAGGATACAACCCATTCTCTATATCATATTCAGATGTTAAGTTTTAGCATACTTGTGCTGTATCCTGTCAGAATGATTGTAGTTAATTTGTACTTCACATGACTAGCTGGTGATATAACTGATTCTGCTCTGTTCCCTACATACAACCAGTGGAGTGTTTTTATTCTTAACCTGAAATAAGGATATACTCATGCTATACTCCTCTTTTGTCTTGAATAAAAAGTCCATACCTTCAAGGTCATATTTGCCTTATTCTTCTCTTGTTTCTTTTCAGGTTCCAGTTAAATAATACATTTGTGTTCCTTTTCTGTAAATAATTCTGGTAAGTAGGTTGCCTTGCAACACCGTGGTACAAATACATTTTATTGATTAGAGATTTCAGCTCAACATGATCTATTCTTTTGTCACTCAAAGTGCTGCCTATAATTTTATTAATAACTTGCGTGTCATATAAATGTATTTATAATGTATATACATTTGTATATAAATGTATATATAATGTACTATATAAAGGAGACTACAAACTACAAGGTTTAGAATGTCTGTGTAAAACAATAAGCATCATCATGCTATTCTGCAATAAAAACACTGAAAAATAGGATAATATGTATTGGTAGAATCGAAATGTCAATATAAAATTATGTAAAAGTCTCAATAAAACTGTGGTTTACCTGATGTCAGTGGAAAAGATAGCAGCATGCCCAAAATATGAAAGCATTTAGTGAAAGACATTCTCAGCAAACAATTCAAGCAGTCTTCTTTCTCCTGTTTTGACCAGATCAACTTCACAGTTTGTCCTGTCCTGGCCTGATTGTCCCGTTTCTTCCCTCTTGCAGAGATTCTGTTCACACCTGCCTAGGTCCTATTTTATTTCTTTTCTTTACATTCTTGCACATTCTTGACACCAGGAAAAAGCAATGTTATAAGTGATAATAAATGCTAGAAATACTTTTTATGTTATCCTCAACACAAACAGGTATCTAATATATGAATGAAAGCTTTGAGTCCATCTACTCTTCTCATTCAGCATTCCGTGTCCCTTCTGTGAGCATGTTGTTGCTGGCAGCATGAGGGCATCACCTGACTCATTTATGCTTTTTGACAGCCACAGTCTCATTCAGCGAGTCCCTGGCTGTTGCTCCAATCCGATGCAGAGTGCTGCTCCACTATTCCTCTCTCTCTCTTTCTCTCTCTCTCTCTCCCTCTCCCTCTCTCTCTCTCTCTCTCTCTCTCTCTCTCTCTCTCTCTCTCTCTCTCTCTCCTCTCTCTCTGCCTCTCTCTCTCTCCCTCTCTCTCTCTCTCACTCATGTTCTCATTCACTCTCGCTCTCCTCACATTGCATGTCTAGGTGAGTGGCTGCCTTTCAGAGTCCAGGCCGGGCTGTGTGTGTGTGTGTGTGTGTGCATGTGTGTGCGTGTGTGTGTTTGTGAAAGAGAGAGAGGGAAAGAGAGAGAGATGGAGAGAGACATTGTGTCTGTCCATATGGGGAGGGGTGCAGCAGTCTTTCACTCAAATGCATGGAGAATGCAGTCCACCACTCTCCGGTCTTTATTTCTGGGAAGGATTCATCCTTCAGGCTTAAAGGTTTTCATTTGAGAGAGTAGAAATGCGCACTCCCTTTCTCTCCCTTCTGCTTCACATCCTCTCTTTACAATCTTTCCTCTCATTTTCTGTCAGTCCATCACTTTGTAAAACCAGGATGGTCAACTTCAAATGGTATTTTTAGAAAAGCTTTAGCAACGTTTCTCCCCTCTGCATGAGAAAACCAAGGACTTTTTTCTCATTACATTTCTTTCATTGAGATTTTGTTTTTCCTTGAACCCAATTTTTTGTTGTTTATTGTTTGTTAAAAATGTTTATATTTGTTTTATAAAAAGCCACTTCCCATGTAAACTGTTGCTTTTTTATGTATGGTCTGTGACCAACTGCTGTGATAAGGACTTGCATATGATATATTGAAAGGCTAATAACAATAATGTTGTCATTGGTTCTGATATGGAATTTTCAATAGAAACTTTCATTACACCTAAAACACACATAGACAAAATCATCACAATCATAGACAGACAGTTTTTGGTTCACTGAACCAAGATATACTTCCATAGGCATACTTTCACACACTTCCTTGACTTTTAAAACCAAAGTCAAACAAGTGATGACAAATATAATATTAGTGTAAATAGGAACAGAAGAAGATATAGCTTTGTCAAATGTAAATTAATGATTTTGGCAGGGATAAAGCTTAAAAGTTTGTGGGGTTTTGTTTTACGGCAACAGGATTTGTTTCTAATTAATTCCTGCCACATCATATCTTCTTCTGGGTGAGAGGTGTCAGATGTCCCCGGAGACAAGCAAAGCAGGAACAAACCAACCAATTAAACAGGCCTATTGACACAATGTGTTTGTTGGCCACCCCCACTAATGTTCCCCAGCCATCTGTGCTGTTTGTCTGTCAGGAGGTTCTTTAATTAAGCCTGGGAAGCAAAAAATAAGGAGAGGGGCTCACACACTGCACCCAGACCTCTTAATAATTCAGCACAGATTATGAACGGTCATCTTCTCCCAGAATGCAATCTTCCCCATCACCCTGCCTTCCCTCCCATCCCCAGAAGCTCATACCTTGGGCTGTCACATGACTGTCACATGATTGTTCGGGTTGTGACACTGTCCCAGTATGGGTCGTCTTGATCAGTTACGGGCTTTCATCCAGAGCCTAGTTCAGATTTTGCAGCTCTTGCCATTTCATCTTCTATGTTAAATATAAAAAGCCACCCTCTCTCAGCATTTGTGCTATAGGGTGTGTGGACTTTGAAGAAGCTGCCTCTGGGTGATATAAATGAAGAGGTATGCCACTTAGGGCTTACACTATGGTTCCACAGGTGGATAATAACATTACACATTATTGGTATTTAGCAGACACGCTTATCCAGTGTGACCTACATAGGTTACATTTTAACATGTTATCCATTTGTACAACTGGATATTTTACTGAGGCAATTCTGGGTTAACTACCTTGCCGAGGGTACAGCAGCAGTGCTCCAGCGGGGAATCGAACCAGCAACCTTTCAGTTACAAGCCCGACACCCTACCACTATATGCCACACTGCCTATGCGTCATTAATAGGTTGAAGAGATGACATTTTCCCTCAGCCTAACCCAATATTGGACACGATTTTTCTATAGTATGAAAAGGTCTGCATTTCATAGTTTGAACAAATGGCTTACTGTCTGGTACAGAGTCAACTGCCTTACACCTTCCACTCTTTTTTTTCCATGGAGATGTTTGTCCAGAGCTGACTGTTCCACTAAAAGCAGTCTGTTGGCTTTAACGGGTTTGCTGCTGGCATCAGCACATTCAACCCAAGATTTCACTTCCTTTCATCTTGACCCTTGTAATGAAAGTGCTGGCACCAATCTGAAATATTATTTTTTATTTTTATTGGCAGAGGCATGGTGTCTCTGGGCATTATCTTTGTAAGAGTTAAGCTGACGTGTTAACTAACTCTGGGACCATCTTGTTGCAGATGCACCCAAGAGAACATAAACATAAAACTAATTAACAGGGATTTATTTGACTTGGGTATAAGCATATGTGGCTCTGAAAACAAGCACGCACGCACGCACGCACCCTCGCGTGCGCATACGCACATGCGCAGCCATATATACTTTGAGTGCGTTCCTCTGCATCTGGCTGACTCTGGGGGCTTTGATGTTGTGTCACTGTGAAGTATTTAGAAATGTCATCTATGGCTGAATCCTCTCAGTGTGAAGCTTAATGTTGCTTTTCAAACTGGCGGCTCCCAAAGCTTTTAAGACACTGTTTGACAGGAGTGATTAGAATTTTCCTTTCACCGACAAGTCAAAATCAAAATAAATGCATGTTTTTCATGCGCACTCTACTGTATCTGACACAGGCAGACTCATTTTAGATGACTAGTAGAGGGAGGGGATTCAGTTTTTGTTTTGTTTTGTTTCAATATGCTCATCAAATTACCCATAAGCTATGCTTCAGTGCTATACACTCATTTGCTAATAACTCCAGCACTTTGGCGTGTTGATCTTTTACACGGAAACCTCCTCTGGAAAGACTTTCGTTACCCTTAAAAAGATTGCGACTTGGCTGCGTGTGAATGAGCAAAAAGTGAGAAGTCTTTGTTTTTCCTCAGAGCAGCTGCAAACAGGGTGAGTCACTGAGTGGTTGTGCCATTACCCCCCAACACACACACACACACACACACACACACATACATACACGCACGCACTCTCCCCCCTCCAACAGTGGGAAAATGTCAGATTAGCTCTCTCCATTCCCTTCTGGTGCGCTTCCAAAGTCTCCTGGGGACAGCGGTTGCGATTTGGCTGGAAATCCATATCAGGCTGCAAATTCCCGCCACCTCCACTCCATCCTTAAGGAAGAAGGAGACAAAGCAGATGTAGTCAGTGACTTGGACACCACACATGACCAGGAAACACTCCGGCACCAACGCTGGTGCTTAAATAATTTAATTTGCATTGAAATGGATTGGTTTTAAACATCTTGTTGGTGCATTTTAGGCAGGACTCCTATGGTTTATACAAAGTTTCATTACCTTTGTGATGTTCCAGCTGAAACATGAAACATATGCTTGTTCATTGAATCGCAGACTCTCCATCTCTTGCAGTTATTTAAACTGCCTTAAACCCTTCCTCTCTTCCTCTGAAGATCCAGTACAGAAGAATAGAAGAAATACTCACCTGCTCCAGCTTCAATTAATAGACAGGTGGCCATGGCTTTTAGGGGATCTCACTAAAGGAGAGAAGTTATTTGGGAGAGATAGATGATTGGATAACGGAGCTGTGAGGACAGCCAGGAGAGGCCCTCGTTCTGGCCCAGTGAATGGGTTTCAGATAGAGGGAAGGGTTATTTATCCATTTACAATCAATAGGCCACTGGGAGACAGCTGAGAGAAAATATATTTCACTGTATTTCATATCAAGCTTATATGTCATATATATGTATTTTTGTGTGTTTAAATATGTGTCATATTGCTATATATCATACCTATATGTATGCCTTTTCTATGCAATGAAATATCACGGTTAAGGCATTAATTGGTTTGGTGAACATTTTGGCCATTTTTCCTTTTTTAATAACTTTAAATGTTGAGTCTTTCAGTGTTCCTCATATCCTCCAGTGGCCGTCGTCCTTGTTTTTCGTCCTACAGAAACACGGTACCAGATGCGCTGGAATTTTCTGTTCTTTGTTGAGATTATTGTTCTGGTGTTTCTTTTTCAGCACAGAGGACGGAGGGAGTGACTCGCTGATGATTTTGCTGTGAAATTCCCGCTAAGAAATGCGTTCCAAACAATATGACAAAGCGTTGAACAGGATGCCTCATAAACATCCCCGGCAGGGTGTTTTTCCGTTTTCGGAAGGATGCCCGCCGTATATATTTCCACTTACAAATGGTGTTCCTGGCAGCAAGAGAACCTGCAAAATATCAGCGCCATTTCAGTAACAATGCTGCAGTGCTTTAATGGAGCTCCCTAGAGGGATTATCAAATGCAGAGGGCCATATGTTTTAATCCGTTTCACAGACACAACAATAATCATGTACGGGAGTGTAATGAGAGTGGAATTGCACTGCTAATTCAATTGTGGCGGTTACATTGGGGGATCAATTCATTAGAGAAGCTACCATGCCTGCTTAAAGGCCACTGCTGCAATGTACTGGCAGCAGAGCAGCTACTTTCCACACAGTGTGAGGATTCAGTGGGAGCAGGGCTTTGATGGCCAGATTACCCCCCTGAACACATTTTACCCACAGTGAGTTATTTCATTAAAACATACATCATATTTAGCAATATTATTATATGACACAAATTATGGAAAGGGCACTCCATATTGATTCGAGCTGTTATTTAGCATGCGCGAGTAATTTGATGGCTTTGATTGGATTTGATGACTGTCAAACCGTTTACTAAAATTGATACAAATGTTCCTAAAATGAGAATAGGTTGTTTCAGTGTGTTATATATTGTGCGTATGGTCTGAAATGACTGTGGGATGAGACTGTTGTTCGGTTTGTCTTCAGAGAGACCTAATGCTGCAGGTTGTACCCTGGGCAGAAGAGATCCTTGGTTTAAGGAACGTGATTAATTTCAACAACATAACAAGACGGATGGGGTAGGGGGGCAGGCGTAGGCCCTGCCATTCAAATTAGAGTGATTCTGTGCCTCAGACACTTCCCAGTGTGGTGGCAGGGTTTTTATCTGTCTGTGAAAAAAAAATCTGCATATTAAAATGAATTTGATTCCCGGCGATAAATCTCATCTGTAATCGTATCATCTTAATTCGTTCATTTATCATGCTGTATGTTGACAGGCCGAGGTCAGGAAAGCTCTGCTGACATGCCTGGGACTGCCACCTCCCTCGACCTGCACCCGCTAAGCCACGAGAGCCTCCGTCACTCACAACCATCAAACTCTCCATCAGCTACACTCAGACCAAAGGCGCTGCGGACCACCGCTCCATGCTCAGAGGCCTGGCTGGCCTGTTAACAGCACAACATTCTATTTACTTTGGAATTTATTTGAAAATTTAAAAAAAGATGACGCAATAAAAGTGACAGTTGCAATGTGACAGCGAATTGATTAGTTGATGTGTATGTATGGAGACAGAAGTATGGTGGTAAAGAGCAGGGCTTGTATCCAAATGGTTTCGGGTTCAGTTCCCCGCTGGTGTTATACCCCTGGGCAAGCTACTTAACAGACAATTGCCTCAATAAAAATCCAGCTGTAAGAACAGATGAAACTGTAACATATATAACTTGCTGTCGGTAAGAGCGTCTGCTAAATGACAGTAATATAATGTAATGTATGTGTATTCATGTGTATATATATATATATATATATATATATATATATATATATATATATATATATATATATAATATGAATACATGTATATGTATTCATGTATATACACCTTTGCAAGTGAGATCCAGCCTTCTGTTCTCATTGCAGAACTCACTCTAACAGACAACATGTTACCAGCTGAGCTAAATGCCATTTGTCCCTACCTCCACAGGCAGCAACACTAGCTAACTTTCAGGAGGTGATGTCACCTCTGGAAGTGCTCTACTACCTGCCACCACACTGGACTTACAAGCTACAACTTACAGCTCTGCTGCGTATGTTGTGCATGTATGATTGCCCCTCTAGGCTACAGGCTATGTGCTATTTCAGTAAGTTGGCCCCAGTCAGGGAGGAAGTGGATGATTTAATGCCCGGCTGACACTGAGGTAGGTTGACACAGCATGTTTGTATGTATACGTGCATGTGTGTTTGCATGCAACACGTGAAGGATTCAGCCAGAGATCTATGACATCAAAGAGCAAAGCGTAAGGTATCCGTTGCATTACGTAGGTATTGCTTTTAATGCAGTTCAAAGGCAAATAGTTTCTAATAAACTATAATCAGAAGTGTAATCTGCTATCTAGACAGGTAAGTGATTTTGAGGTTTTCCAAAAATTTGGGTTTGTTCTGAGTCAGTCTTGTAGTTTACAGCCATTTTTACACTCTCTGAATTATATACTCTCATAATTATGAATTATGTGTTGTTGAGAGAACAGATATTATTATAGCTCACATTGGGACAGCTACAGTTCCGCTTCACACATTGTATGCAGTTACTTTTTGGGACTGTGCCCCAGCTGTAAGTCAAAATAAGTAATGAGGTTGACACCTTCAGCAATTATAATGAACATTTGCCCTCGGATATTTGTCTGGTTTTATTATGCAAGTGTAATTGGAAGAACTTTTTTTCTCACTTGAGCAGAAGCAGGCCATATGCTCATTATTTGCCTGCCTCCAGTAAGTCCCCGAAAGTCCCACTAACAATGAAAGTACTGTGTGACTGGTAGTTTGTGAAGACTTCAAGCCATGCTTCTCGAAGGGTAACTTCACCATAAATTGAACATTTATTTGTTTGTGCTTACATTCACTATACACATACTGAAAAAGCTCTGACTGAGAAAAGTTGTTTGTGCCTAGGTGTTTCAGGAAAGCGGAACTATGCATTATCAAGTTATTTAGGGTTGCTTTTTGGCTGTCATTGTGATTCTGTT